TTTCTCAGGGTTCGGTCGTATGCTATCGGCATCGACGATATTGCCGAGAAACTCTAACTGCTTTTGCGCGAATAAACATTTCTCGAGCTTAAGATGATAACCGTAATCCTGAATGCGTTTTAGGTTTTCAAAAAGATTCTTTCGGTGGTCCTCTTCATCGATTCTTCCAATGATGAAATTGTCTATGAGCGAAAATACACTTTCTGCACGGCTCATCATTGTGTCAACTAATTGCTGAAACGTTCCTGGTGCTATCTTGATGCCGGGTTGCAAACGGTTTACTTGAAACAAACCACAGTGTGTATTGATCGTCATCAGTTTTTTTGGCCTCATCGTCGAGTTCCACCTGCAAGAAAGCGTCCGAGAAATCAATTTTGCTGAAGATACGGTATTAAGATAGCTTTGCGTAAATTTCCTCTGGTGTTTTCAGTGGGTACTGGTTCGGTTCAAGAGCATCGTTGAGTCCAGTGGAATAGTCGCCACAAAGCCGTATTCTGCCGTCCTTTTTCTTGACAGCGACGAGCGGTGCGGCGTATCGGGAGTATTCGACGGGACTAATGACGCCCATCAGCTGCAGACGCTTCAGCTCGTTGGCGATTTGCTCAGCCGCGGCAAATGGAACCGGGCATTTATTACGGAAAACGGGCTGTGATCCCGGTTTCAAAGTTAGCGACGCCTTCATTTTATTGCAGCGGCCCAACGAATCGGAGAATAGGGCTGGGAATTTCGACTTTACTTCCTTCTCCAGACCCGCTGCATCAACAGCGATGAAAGAGTTGCAGATGTTAGCGATTGGTATGTTCCACAGGGCGAGCGCTTCCATCCAGTCGCTCCCGAGTACGTTGAGGTTCAATGCTGCGACATAACACGGTCCAGAATTCTCGCGGCCGTGCAACTTCAAACGAGCATTGAATTTACCTAGCATCTTGAGTGGGTCACCTGATGCACTAAAAGCCTGCTCTTCGCAATCGCATAGCTTGGGTGATCCGAGAGTTTTCCAGTTAGCGGACGAGATGATCGTCCAATCAGATCCGGAATCGAGTTGCAGCCTTAGCTTGGTGTTGTCAATCTCGGGTTCGACAAATCTGCGAGTCGACACGGACATCGTGCTTACCGCTTTGCTGCTTTGCCGTCCGAAACGTGGCTTCCGGTCAGTTGATTCGCAGTAGCCCTCCTTGTGGCCGGTGCGCTTACATGTCGGGCACTGCTTGGTTAGGAAAGAACATTCGCTCGGAAAATGAATTTCGCCGCAGCTCCAGCACGGAAAACGCGCCTTGACGGTCTCCCCACTGCGGCCCGCTAGCGCCGTCGTCTCGGTACTCTCTCCCACTTTGCTGTTCGAACTCTGCTTGTTGCCCTTTGTACGTTGCCTCCGTTGGATTGTCAGTACGTCGCTCAGCTTTGCAGCTTCTGGATCTAACACCATTGACTTCTCTAATCTCAGGCTGCTCAAACGCGATGCAAAATTTACCACGTCCCCCAGCTTAAGTTTGGGGATCAGTTCTCTGGCCGCGTCGTCGGCTGCCGCCTCCCGTTGCATCTCCTGGCTCTCCATCTTGTTCAACAGTTTTTCTAGCGTTTACGATTCTTCTGGCTTGTTGAGTCCTTGCACAAAAATGAGCACCTTGAGATCGTCAGCGGAGCAATTTGCGATATTGAATTTCTCGCACTTGAGATTGACGCGAGCAGCGTATTCGGCATAATCTTCATGCGGTTTCTTCGCGACTTTGAGACACTTGTATCGGAGAGCAAAGTGTGACTCTTTACGACCGAAGATTCGCTTGAGCGCGGTCACAGCGTCGTTGAACGAAATGTCAGCCTTGGTGCGGAGAAGAATGGTGTTTGCGAACCTATCGAAATCTATGGTGGAGAGCTTCTCAGTTAGTAAGCTGACTTTCGCTTGATCGTCCATCATCGCTGCCTCTACTGTGAAAATTGTTTCATACCTCGCATACCAATGCTCGAACGTCGCGTTGTTCTCAGCGCTGTAAGCAAACTTTTCCATGCGTTCAGCAAGGTCCTTGTGCAGCGAGTAGGCTGGCATCGCTGGCTGCCGGACCGCTGGCTGTTGCGCTGCAATCTGTTTCAGCAGGGCTTCGATTCTTTGATCGGCTTTTTGTTGCTTGGCCATTGCATCCAGCAAGGCTTGAATCGTTGGGTCGGCATTTTGAGGTTATGTTACGCGCGGAAGTAATTTACAGCCAACCAATTTACCAAATCAAATTATTGCGTGAATTCTATTATCCTCGTCGCCACTGCTGAGACCTGTAATCGGGATGGGTAGCAAGCACGTGGTCTCAGCGTAATATCAGATACTCTTTATTTGTACTTGTACTTCGAGCGCCAACCCTCGACTGACTGTTACAAGAGAGAGCCCTCGCGGATGCCGGGTAGCCCAAGATGGATGCCCCGGGCATAGGTATACTATTATATAGAGGGATCCAACAGTAACCAGGATCAGTTTTATCTATTTGATTATAATTGGGATAATCAACGTCGAAATCGACAGGAATAGGTTTAAATGGAAGTGCGTTTTCTAGTTGCAATTGTTGGAGGAAGGGGAGAGGATCTTGATTAGAAATGACTGCTTGTTTGATCTGGAATCTGATTCGTTTAATTCGAACGCGCCTACCTCCTTTCTTCGTCATTCAGCCGCGTTCACGAAAATTAATTTTAAGTTCGCCACACTCTTCGGCAGCGCTCTAAAATCAATCCGCCACACCCTCTGCTCGCCACACTCTTCATCAGCGCTCAGATCGTCAGCGTAGAGGTCAAATTCACTTTCGGGAATTTATCGAGATTGTCTTTTCTGGAAACCAACCCCGTAATCGCCACTCTTTCGGCAGCGAAAGTACTGGATCGCCACACTCTTCGTCAGCGCCCCAGCACAGATCGCCACGCTTTGTCAGCGGAAACTGCGAGTCGGAATGCCAGAAGTGACAGTGATTATTACGACTCCCAAGAATTAACCCTGTAATCGCCACGCTTTTGGCAGCGAAAGTACCGGATCGCCACACTCTTTGTCAGTGCCCCAGCACAGATCGCCACGCTTTGTCAGCGACAACCGCGAGTCGAATCTTAGAAGTAATCGATTATTGATTAAGAATACGAGATGAGATTCCAGATTTTCAAACTTGTTCTTTTTCAACTTATCTTACCTTTATTCTAAAAATCTCAGTACAACTTGTGCGTGCAGAAGCGCGGTCTTGTGAAGTATGAGAGTACAGGGACTAAGTCCCAGAATTGAGCGCGAATGGTCGAACTTAGCGTATAATGGAACGTAGGAAATTGAATAAGAGCTAGGAGAGAGTCTGAGATGTCAAGACCGAAGTTAAAACTTATCTGCTCTTTGCGGTGTTTTTCCGCCCTATTTATACCCGAAAAAGACCGGAATCTCCCGCGCGAGATTCCCGCCTTTTTCTACGCGTCTTAAGGGGGAAGGTATTCTAGAAGCTTCTAGAACATTCTAGAAGCGTAGTTTTGGGCCCATCTGGCCCCCAGCCCTTCAACGTACTCCGATAAGATAACATAGACATTTACGTTGACTCGACCGTCCCCTCGGAATTCCGAGCTAACGTGCCTCGTCTAAGCGTTCAAAAGTGCATCGTCGAAATTTTAATTAATATATAAAATTTCAGTACGTAACAGTCTCTGTAAAACGCCATGTAAAATGTATGTGATTAATGACTAAATGTACAATTGTAAAGGATTTTGGGAACGTTTTTCCCGGAAAAAAAAAAAAAAAAAACGTCTTTCCAACCCCGGAAGGGGAGAGAAATAAAGATAATTGATTGATTGATTAATTGATAGATATATATTTAATTTCTATACTGGCAAAAGAAATTTATTATTTTGTTTATCTTCTTTTTGCTAGAAATGTTGGAACTTCATAAAATTCATAGAATAATAGCATAAAATTCATAGAATTATATGCTAATAATGTGGAAAATTTCTTATAGAAAAAAATTTATGAGCTAAAAAAACGGGCACAGTAACAATTGTGCCGCAAGCAACAACGTAGAACTACGTCAACTGTCACTATTTGGAATAATGGTTACTTACTAACAAGACTTTTCGGTTCGTGAGTACTACATACTCCTAAAATTTGGTATTACTTTTTTCAACACTGTATATTAAGTATTCGAAGAGTCTCGAACTAGGATTTATCATTCTTTCTTGTGTTGCACAGATTGTTCCGTTCTATTCTATTCTATTATAACAAATACTGTTCTAATTAGTAACAATCTGAATAAATAATTAAATCAAAAATGTATATAATTTTGTTCTTATTAAATTGATAATTTTTTATATAGTATCGCGTTTATTTTTTATATAATACCTATAAGCATAACCAATCTAGATGTGCACGCTGTCTGATGGGTTATATACATATAAAACGTAAAGACGTTTTTTAGATATGGGTGCTGTGTAGAAATTAATATTTAAAAAATACGGTAATTATTTATTCAAGGGCGTTTTCCGAATTTTGATATTTTTTGCGGCTCTCTTGATAAAAATCTTTGTTGTGACTCCGACAGTGATAATCAATCGGGGGAGCCAGAAAAATATGTACCTTACCTATTTATATAGTAATAGTGTGCTTTGTAAAGTACATGCGTAAACTTTTCACGCGTAGAAAGTTGTAAACCTATGTAGCATCTTGTTTTGCGCGGAAAGTGTATGCGTGGAGGCAGTAGGTTCCGTCTCCCTGTGGAGGGCTCCACCTCCAAAAAAAACTAACCTAACCCAACTTAATTGTTGTGTGGATGGAAAAGTATATGTGTGAATACAATAGAGGAAGCCAAATTAATAAATATCTACTAATAATTATGCATAAAAAAACAGGTTTCCTCATATAGGAAGCAATGTGCAAATTTTTACTTGCACACTTAAAAACTATGAAAAAGCAATGTGCAAGTTTCTACTTGCACACTGCTTTTTTGCACACTTTCTTTTTTTTTGTGTATTATCAAAATATTTAGTTCATCATTATTTTGCAGGATGTGCGCATATTTCTTGACGGAGCAAAGAATGGAGCCATCGTAATATCGTTAGGAACGAATATGAAATGGAAACATCTCAATTTAAACACGGTTAAAACTGTTATACTGGCTCTGTCGAAACTGAAGCAACGAGTGCTGTGGAAGCTAGATATTAAAGTGGCATTTGAGATACCGGAAAATGTAATGGTTATAAAATGGATGCTTCAAAGCGAAGTTTTATGTACGTTTCACAGTTTCTATGAATGCGCGAGAAACATGAGACACATATTTCTACATAACATTTGTTTAACTAGCTATTGCTTTTCGTATATTTGTTTTCAACGTAAACAATTTTTTTAAACAAGTTTCAGCTTTCTTTATCTTAATAAAGATTCTTGTTGTTAAATAAGGATATCTATAAAATTTGAGTATTAGATACATTAATGCAATAGATATCATTTTCTTAAAACTGCTTTGAGAAAAATGAGATTTATGATTATGAGAATTACTTACTTTTACGTAACACCGGTTTGAATTGTTACTTTAATTACTATATAGTGTTTTATTAAAACATCGCGATAGACATACACGAAAACATCGCACATACAATAAATATTTTGTGGATAGATTGGTTATTGACTAATTACAGCACAACTATACTTCGTCCAACGAGAGATTGAGAGTGGTTGTGGTCTGCGCATAGGCGGGCAAAGTGGAGGGTAAAGTCTCTAGAACGTGGTGTACCGTATATATAAATAGATGTTCTGTGGGCGGAGACCTGCGCGAGGCGGACGAGTTTTTGTCCAACCTACTCTGTCTCTCATTGGACGGAGTATACATTTTAAAAATAACTATAATATAAAAAAATCAATTTTTGTTATATTAGGTTCATATAGTTACCTCGCAGTAATGTCTAAACAATTTTATTTTATTTCATATTTTTTTGCACCTATTATAAGACAAAATTTCAGTTTTTAGTTATTACAGTTATATGCATATTATAATCTCTTTATAATAAGAAAGTAATTTTTATTACAATTAGAACAACTCGCTTTTTATTTAAAAATGATGTACAAGCAACAAAATTGTTGATTAAAAAGTTCATCACATTAGTTTAAGTTGGAGAAGTACTTTACAATAAAAGGTATCATATTTTGATTATGTTTTGATAATTATTATTTCAGCAGTAAATATTAACAATATAGCTACATTGCAGATAATGTCTAAACTCTGTTTAATATACATAGTATAATCAATTTACAAATTCCTGTAAAAACAATTGCTCATAAAATAATAAATTATAAAATTTATTGGCTTTTCTGTTTATGTGTCTTGTAATATATTTGGTTTTTCCTTTAATTAAAATGCGTTCCTTTATTAAAATGTAATTTTTTTATTATATCATTAAAGTAAAACTTTTTTTGTACAGTTATACGAGAAACATGAGACAATTATCCAGCGAATTCCGGGATCGGCCAATACTGCCATTAGATTTAGCTGTTTGGAGTATTGAATACACAGTCCGCCATCCAAATGGAACTTTAGCAACGCCGCTGAAGTCTCAGAGCTGGATAGAACAAAATCTGATTGATGTCTACGCATTTTTGCTCCTTAATTTTTTCATAATATTGTTAAGTATATTCTTTGTAATAAAAATATTAATTAATTTTTATTATAATTATATGTACACCGCATCTAAGTTACGCAAGAGCAAACAAGCGTAAGTCGTAAAAACATTGAGTGCGTTTTCTCGCTCATTAACAGGCTTTGCGTGCAGTTGCTGCACTCAGTCAGAAAGGTGACATCGATTTAACGTTAATTTGATGTCGAAGAGGTTAACACAGCTGGTTGAATTGAATTGATCGAATTGGTAGAATCACTGTTAATCGACGAACTTTTTGAGTGATTAGGTATAGTTGACCTGACGTCGAATCAATGTCGATCTGACATTGACAAATTTTGTATAATAAAATAATAAAATATTATATAGGGTGTTTTGTTTTAAATGATGCAGTCGATTATCTCGTCAACCGATGATTTTATTGAAAAATGTTTTAGACAAAAGTTGCATAGTTTGGAGAGGGACACATGATGAATGGACTTGACCTTGAGTGATCTTTTCAAGGTCAGGATGACAAGATCACCTTAAATTTTTTAATGAGACTCCGTATTTTTTATTGTATATTCTTATAGCCCTCGCCGAGACATTTTCAAAACACTATAATAAAGCTCTCTTTCGTTAAGAATTTTCTGAGATTTTTTAAATTTTATCATGATATTTTTAATATAAAATATGAAATATCTTGTGAAATATTCACTTGAGCGGGCGAAAAATCTAGTATATAAACAATGCATATAAATATAAATATTATAGTCATTTTGAAACGGATATAAAAATTTTCTTTTTATGTCGTCATTTAAAGTGATTCGAGTCATTTATTATATATATTTAAAGAAAGGTACTTTCTTCATTTGAACTCGCCGCGCTACAGTAGTTGGTAGTAGGCCGAAGTCGGTAACACTGATCAAGAGAGATAGATAGAGAAAGAGATAGAAAATGATAAGCACGTGTGCGTATCTTGCAAAATCATTGAGATAGAAAGATTGTTTGAATAAAGAATAATTAGAGGTGTAACGGAGAAAGAAACTTTAATTGTCGTTTCTCTTGTTACAGGTAAGATTGTAAATATTGTACATAAATTGTTAAAACATAGTAAATAAAATTAAAATCTCTTGTTACAGAGCAACACATTGGTTTTTTTCTTGGAAAATGCTCAATAATAGAAATCATCTTACATATATATAGAAATATATATATATTATATAGTATATATATAAGAGAAATTTAGTGTTCCTTTAATTTTTGTGAGAAGTATATATATATATATATATATATATATATATGGGACATTCCATGTCGACCGGAACAGCGCCGTGGCCAAA